GCATGTTTTTGATAGTGAGGCAGTGGTCATACCACTGCGTCCAATGGCAAGTCGATTCTGTGGGTGTTTTTGTTTGGGCCCGGCCCCGTTTTGTGGGTTTTGTTTTGTTTTTCTGCTGTTGCTTCGCTGTTTCCGCTGGCGAAACGCAAGTCTGGCTGGGGGATTTGCGGGTCGTCTTTTTTGGTCTTGTGGTTTCTGGTTTTGTTGCTTTAATTGATTTGCCAACTTCAAGGACCCTGTGTCCTGGTACAGTGTATTTTCAGCTTACACTCATGTAAGGACCGAGCCTTAGCGCGACATCGGCCACACTGGAGGAAAAAAAAATGTGCTTTGTGGTTTTGGTCTTGGTTTTGGTTTTGTGTGTTTTTTATTTTGGTTTGCTTTGTTTGGTTTGCTTCGTCTGTGGGTTGTTTTTTCGATGGGACCGCTCAATGGACTGTGTATAGGTCCTCACCAGTGCTCGATTGAGGCTATTGACGTTTAGACGGCATTGCATGTTAATTAACAATTCATCTTTTTGCTGCGATTGAACGCGAGTAACGACCTGGCGAGAGCCATGAAGGCGTTGGACGGAAAAAAAGAGCTCTCTGATGTACTCGAAAATGACGATCTCCAACAGCTCACAATCAATACCAAGTCTCAACAGCCTGGTGAAGCCCTACTTGTTGTTGAGCCAAGTGGCGAAATCGATGTCCGCATGACCATTCCGCTCAGGGAGCCTAAGAAGTCGAACACCGTGGATGCGCAAGCGGAGGCGCACGAGCCATCCGTGTCATTGCGGAGAGCTGCAGCACTAACACGATTACACGCTGTCCAAGGGAATACAGTGCCAGAGAACAGCCTACTCAGCCAAACATACCTGACCCGCTTAGAACCAACTATCCACCAACACCTCCTGCAATTGATGGATTCCTACAAGACGTGCAACAGCGTGCAATTCTCAATAAAGTCGACAATCTTTTAGTGGACCTAGCGAACCAATTCCATCGTGCTGGCCACGCCAATAACTTTAGTGCTGCAAGAGCATACTTACTTGCCTTGTCCAGTACCGCTGTCCGGATGCTATGCCCACCAAGAAACGCCGGCGGTTACTATAAACTGCGATGATGATGATGATGATGTTGGACAAGACCACCTGAGAGGATTCTGAGAGTTGAGTGACGCCTCTGTTGAACTATTTCACAAATAGATCCCGTCTACCTCTCAGTTTCACCATTTCTGTTGACAACGTGGCTGTGTCACTGCTAGTCTTCAGGAATGTTTCAGACATGTGATTCGTTATGCCCGTGCGGCTTACTCTGGTGATCTTGGTGCTCTTGGCTGCGGGGGAGCCCTGGTTTCCGTTCAGAGTTTTGTTGGTTCCGTCACATGTCTTTCAGTATGGGGCGATGTCTTTTTTCTTTGTTGAACTTCTGGTTTTATGTTTCACGCCATACTGCCGACTCCACAGTGATGCATAAGCCATCACCTTTCTTCAACTGAGCTGGAACTTTTCACAATGCCTGTTTTGCTCTTTGTGGGTTTTGTTTGTCGTTTGGTTTGTTTGCTTTTTCTTGTTGTTGCTTCCTGTCTTTGTTTTGTTTCCTGGTTTTTGGCACTGTGACTACCCCCCAGAACTGTGAAGCCTGTCCTGATGCCAGCACTGTTGTGTCCATGGATGCGCCGTGTTGGCTTTTGTGTCACGGCTCCAATAGTTACAGTTAATTAATTCATTTCATGCACTAGAGTGTTGATCGACCTGGCGAAAGCCAAGAGGCGATGGACGGGAAAAAAAAATGTGACAACAATGCGGATGAGAAGAAGATGGTTTTGATATGTTTGGAAGTGAATTCAAACAAGTTGAATTCACCTGATGTGGTGAGAATGTTTTTGGAGAGAAAATGAATCTTTTTGCATGCCACTGCCGCTGTTTAAATAAAGGAGACAAGAGCTGGAACAAGACCGAGTGATGCCACGAGTTTTGTTTTTCAGTGCACATGTCATCCTATCGTGTTTTTGGCACCAAACTGTTTTGGAGATGCAACGTTTTTGCATGAACGGTTTTTCATTTTTGTTTTGGCGTGGAAGTCGACGTTCGAAGTTTTCAACTGCGTCCTTTTTTTGTCAATACGTTGTTTTACGTAGGTGGGTGTTGATCAACAGCTTCCCTTTATGTTATGGGGTTCGGGAGCGTGGCGCTGTCAACTGACCTGTAATAATAAACCGGAACTCTTTGCAAAAGATGATGGCCTTATTGTGTAAGGTCTGTTGGTTTTGCTGTGCAGGTTTCTTCTGCACAAAGCGTGCGCCGCGTCTCCGTAATGTATTCGCCCTCTTCCTTGCCTCGCTGTCCACGCGTTCTCTCCGCGTTGGTGTTTTTGCACTTTTGGTTTGTTGTGCAACTGCAGACCCTTTGAACAAACCAAGTTTAAATCCAAACGCATCTGCATTGAAATCTGTTTCAGTTGCTGTGATGTGTTTTTTCCTCTTGACCCAAGCCTCGTTTCGAGAGTTGAAGTTTGTTTGAGTCATTCAGTTTTTATGAAGAATTTCACATCAATATATGTTGTGTCTGCAACATGTCCTATCAAGGTGTGGGTGGGTGGGACCTCAATTTTTATGAGGAAATCAAAATACCCACCCTGTCTTTCTCCCACCCGGTTTCCTCAGGTCTGTCTGACCTTTTCTTCTTTGGTCCGTTTGACCACACCTTTTTGCCTCGAGTTGGAAAGCCATTCCAACCAAACAACCTGGTCGATTGTTCCCCACAGCATGGTGAAAAAAGGATGCGTTGTCCGAGCGATGCCACGAGTTTTGTTTTTCAGTGCGCATGTCATCCAATCGTGTTTTTGGCACCAAACTGTTTTGGAGATCCAACGTTTTTGCGTGAACGGTTTTTCATTTTTGGTTTTGGCGTGGAAGTCGACGTTCCAAGTTTTCAACTGCGTCCTTTTTTGTCAATACGTTGTTTTACGTACGGGGGTGTTGATCAACAGCTTCCCTTTATGTTATGGGGCTCGGGAGCGTGGCCCTGTCAACTGACCTGTAATGACAAGGGGTTCTGTTAAAGTTCTGTTCCATCATGATTTGCTGGTTCTTCCTGGTTCCGGCTGGGGTTCCGGTGTTTGTCTCCCTTCTTCTCTCTTCTTTGGTTCCGGTGCTTATCTCCCTTCTCTCTTTTCTTTCCTTCAGGACAGGGGTTCTGTTCCATCATGATTTGCTGGTTCCTCTTGGTTCCGGCCGGGGTTCCGGTGCTTGTCTCCCCTTCTTTTCTCTTCTTTGTTTCCGGTCTTTGTCTCCCTTCTTCTCTCTTCTTTCTTTCCTCAAGAAAGGGGTTCTGTTCCATCATGATTTGCTGGTTCCTCCTGGTTCTGGCTCGGGTTCCAGTGCTTGTCTCCCTTCTTCTTTCTCCTTTCTTTTCTCAGGAAAGGGCTTTTGTTCCATCATGATTTACTGTTTCCTCCTGGTTCCGGCTGGGTTGCGGTGCTTGTCTCCCTTCTTCTCTCTTCTTTCCTCAGGAAAGGGTTTCTGTTCCATCATTGTTTGCTGGTTCTTCCTGGTTCCGGCTCGGGTTCCGGTGCTTGTCTCCCTTCTTCTCCCGTCTTTCTTTCCTCAGGAAAACGGTTCTGTTCCATCATGATTTACTGTTTCCTCCTGGTTCCGGCTGGGTTCCGGTGCTTGTCTCCCTTTTTCTTTCTTCTTTCTTTTCTCAGGAAAGGGGTTCTGTTTCATCATGGATTTCCTGGTTCCTCCTGCTTTGGGCTGGGGTTCCGGTGCTTGTCTCCCTTCTTCTCCCTTTTTTGTTTTATTGCCTCGTATTTGTACGGTTGAAGTAATGAAGGGGAGTAAAACAGAAGGCAGGAGTGTGCCAGACAGTTCCATGAATTTTGAATTGCACATGACCTTGGTGGAAACATGCGTTGTTGCTGTTTGGGGTCTGTGCTGGTGTAATTTTCATACAGTGTACTGTTAGGGGTTCTTTAGGCTTTCTTAAGGTGTCCGCCTTGGTGTTGGATGGTGTGTCCGCCTTCGTGAGGTCTTGTCTCCTATCTTGTCTCGCAGCTTGTCTCTCTTCTTGTTCCCTTTGTGGCGGGTGGTCTCATTCTGCATTTTTTCCCAAACAGTGTGCGGTTCGGGGTTCTTAATGCTTTCTCAGGTCATGTGTTTGACCCTGTTCCTCAAAAACACGTCTTGAATCCACCCAGTGTTTGGGGTCTACGGTGGAGTTTTTTTTCACAACAGCGGCCGGCTGCATGTTGTTCCGCCAAAATTTCAGACACAACGTCAAATTTCAAGACACATGCTTTGCATACCATGCCTGGACAATACTTTCATATTTGCCAAGCCGAGACGGCAACATCTCAACCAACACAATTTTTGCCAACCGCCATCCAATTTGCCAGGATTTGAACAACAGTCCAATATTAATGAAACATATACATATGCCATATGTAAAGAAATATATTTATATATTTATATATTTATATATTTATATATTTATATATATATATATATACACATATGACATATGTATTGTTTTTGCATTTTTCATTGAAACGTGCCAAACTGTGAGCTAGACTTGGTGCGATTGTTGTGGCCTTTTCAGGGTGATTTGTGTACTGCGGGCATGCAAATAGTTCGTGAATCAAACAAGAGGATTCGCAGTTGTATGTCAAACTGTATGTCAATCTCGGAATAATTTTGGAGGATGTAGCAATATGAAACAAGATGCGTCGTCATGTTGTCGTGTGGACAAACACAGACATTGAACTGGCTATCATGACCGTCCCAACAACTGTTCTTGGCGTGTCAATTTTTTTTCCAGATTTTAAGAAACAATTATTTGCACACCAAACAATTGGTGCTGTTGCAATTGTCGTGACAATCAATGTTTGAACAAAAATGCAAACAATCCAAATGTTGTTCAAATTTATCGATTCGAAAAAAATGCATGCACAATTCCCTTTATATATCATTGACGGCCAAGAAAAGGGTATCTCCACCTTGTTCATGCATTTGTCATGGCCAACACTTTTATCGACCTTGATCCGGAGACGATCGAGGCTCCGTTTTTGGGGCGGAATGTTGGGGAAAAAAACCCAGACATTGCAGAGTCAGATCGCGACAGGATGCGTCTCCATTGCAAGCGGAAGTTGGCGGAACTCCGCAGCAACGGCGACCCCGGAGGACCTGCAGAGTGGGACCAGAAGGTCAACAAGATGGTGAACATTAGGAAATTCGAAGATGCAATTGTCTACATGTGACTTTTGCAGAGTAGTGTTTCAGCCATAGATGCTGTAGATGGTTTTGCCATGTATGCACATTGTGGTGCGCCACGGAGCAAACTGGCAAGCCAACCGCTAGGGAACGCAACCATGGCAGGAGCGATGTCACACCCATGAACCCTCCTCGAAAGGCCATTCCGACAACTTTTGGTTTGTCGGAGTTTTGTTGTGGTTTGTGTGATTTATTTTAAGACTGGAATGAACAGATTGCACAAGTTCGCAAATTCAACAACCAAATTTCCAGTGACCATCTTAGTTAGCAACGTGCGAGATGGTCAAATTTTCCCACCAACTCCAATTGGTCTCAATGTCTGGGAAAAAATAGAAAAGCAAAAACAATTCATTTTTTTGCTAAAATGGGTTAAATTTACATGAACGTGCTTACCCAAGGTTTGAATTAGAACTTGGGTGCGGGGTATGTCTTTTAATAACGTTGAATCCCGGACAGGCAGAAGTGCAGTTGGAAGCCTTCGCTTTTGAGCAGCCAGCAAAGCGCTCGAAGTGTGAACACAGCAGTCCTGCAACCAAGGTGGGAAAATGCGGTGCGTAGTCGCTAATGCGGATTTGTTTGGAAATTTATTTTCAAAACACTAGTTAGTTGAAACCAATCTTGCAAAAAATCTGATGTATATTTTTTTTTTGATTTTGAATCCTTGGAAATGGAACTGGCTTAAGGAATTCATTGACACGCCTCCAGGTGGCTCCAGAAACTCCTCCGAAAGCACCATCCGTACCGTTGCGGCAGCATTTGGAGCACCGGCAGATTCAGATTGAGGACTGGGAAAAGCATCAGCGTCTTTAGCACCTGTGGAGGCTCCAAGTTTTCCATGTGATTTTACGCACCTCTCAAGTAGAAAAAAAGTCAAACCATAGCCAATGTATGTTCCGAGAAAATATATTAGCATGGAGATGTATAGATTGTATACGTAATAATAGGTATTACCACTAAGCTTAACTTATGCTGCGAATGCTTGTAGCTGCATATGTGGTGCGAACATTTATCACCTTCTGCAGCTAGAGGTTCAAGTGCAATCTGTACACCCCCCGAGTGAGACAGGAGGGGGGGTTCGGAAGAAGAGTACCCCCAGCCTTAGGGCTGGGTGGCGATGCCAGGCACATGGCGTCGAAGTGGAGAGAACCTCGACTTAAAGGTCGGTACCTTCCTCGAAGTAGGAGTACTTGACGGAGAAGGAAAGGGCCAAGGCACCGTTGTGCTTGGAGTAAAAGAGGTAGGAAAACCTCACGGAGGTACCCCAACGGTAGAGTGCTGCTTCCTCGGATGCAGTGACGCTCATTACCTTTGGTGGATGGAACAGGGCAACGGCAAGGACCTGAGCGACCGAGCCTGGTACCACCTTTGTGGTGAAAGGCCCGGGGACTGCTCCAACGTGCGGAGCAAGAACAGGATGATACACGCTACAAAGGTTCGAGAACTGAGCCCTGGAGATTTTGAGGAGGCAGTTCTCGCCTTCTTAAAAAAGAAGGAACATGCTGAAGTCTTTGACAAAAACATGGCCAAATTCAACCGATGGGTTGAAAAGAGAGGAGAAGACAAAGCTCCTGCACCTGCCAAAGGACCTGAGGCAAGGGCTCATTGGCATGGGTCAGAAGGATCAAGTGACGAGAGAGAAGGCAGGAGGCGGGAGGACTCACCCCAGGGTAAAAAGCTCATGGCCCGCCTGGAGGATCTCCGAAGGGAGTTGAGAAAAGCTGAAAAGCAGGCTGAGGAGTACAGAGGCCGAAAACGTGAGCCCAGAAGGTCCAGTACACCTCCCAAAAGGGATGGAAAGGCAAAGCGTTCGAGAAAGACCAAAGACAAGAAGTCAAGGAGCCGCCACCGGAGGAGGCAGAGATCAGGATCGGGCAGCCGCTCCAAGCGAGCGCGAGGCTCTCGCCGAAGCCGAACGAGGAGCCGACAGAGGAAGAGACGTAAAAAAGACACCGGGTCGACAGACTCTGGGAATGATTCAAGTGCATCACAACGCCAGGAGCTGTTTCAGCCTAAGAAGAAGGGCCGGAGTGAAAGCCCCACTGCAGGGGATCGAGGGCCTTTTGGAGAAGGCCCGGCAGTCGACTACAAGGACAATGAAGGATCAAGCTCAGAGGAGTCAGATTTTCGCAAGGCCCCCTCGAGAACCACGAAGAGCTCGCAACTGAAGCTACTCAGTTACAGCCGGAAGTACCCAGGAAGACTCGCCAGCCGGATGCTATTAAAGATGGCCCAGGCGACGGCGAGGGGTCTCGAGGGGGCGTCCAAGTCAAAGACCCCTCCAGTAGCGATGAACCACCTTCTCACGGTCCTGCAGCCAACCCTGCAGTCGAAGCTGGGAATGCGCACTTTGCGCGAAATGAAAACCTTAGCCCGGAGCCTCGACCTGCTAGCGTTGGGCCAGATAGGGGGAGCTGCAGACCTCCTTTGTCAAAGGATAAAGGCGCTCGAGAGGTCGGCAGTCGAGGGGCATTGGCAGAGTGCCCAATTCTTGGAACTCCTGCCACCGGAGAGCTCAACTCTCCTGGAACGGGACGAGGAGATATTCCTCGCGAAGGAATACTTGACCGATCAGAAGATCAAGGGTTACGACAAGCCCTTCCGAGGAAAAGGCTGGGAGAGCACCAAAGGAGCAGGAAAAGGGAAAGACGCTCAGAAGGGCGAAAAAGGAAGAGGAAAAGACAAGAAAGGACGCGACAAGGAAGAGAAGTGAAGAATGAGGAGCAACCTCCGACAAGCCTGAACAGTCAGGAGTTCTGGACCAGAGGCCTCCGTGACATGATGAGCAAGGCACAACGTCCAGGCCATCTTATGCACCTGGCTCATCAATTTCTGGATAAGCTACCCGGCGCTTTAGGTGAAGCCGTGGCTGATGTCGCAAGGGCTGAACTTGGAGATAGCGGCAGACCACACAGGGCCGCCGAGGCCCGCCGAATTCTCCCTTTGCGAGTCAGTGCGGCTGCGCACTATTGCCGGCAGCTGTCAGAAGAGGTATCTAGTTGGGTATGCCTCATGGTCGAGGTCCTGAACTTCTTGTACCTTGGAGGTAAGAAGATCATTGGGGGCGAGATTTTGACTGACCCTCAGAGGACCGCCCTCGAATGTCTCATCCGAAGCGTTGAAGACTTCTTGGAGACTGAGGTGAGGGTGCCCGCGATGGGGAGCCTGAGGAGTGATCTGGGCCGAATACGGTTCGATTACACTGGAGAGATTGTCGCCGTCATGGAAGAGCTGAACGCAGAGAGTGTGATAGCTTGCTGGCCGAAGGTAGGAGAAGCTGGAATGCAACCCGCTGAGAAGTTTGTCAGCGAGGAGGTCAAGGAATGGCTGACCAAGCCTCGGAGCACCCTGCTGCCCCGATGCTATTGGCCCTCCTCCCCTCCGAGGAGCAGAGTGAGGGCTTCTGATGAGGAGTGGGAGAAGCTGGTACGAGCAGCAGTGGAGAGAAACATGATGAGAGAAGTGAACGAGGAGGATATCCTCAGAGATCAGCAGGGACGCATGGTTCTGAATGGAGCTGGTGCTGTACCAAAGTTCAAACAAATTGATGGACGGGAGGTACGACTTCAGCGCTTCATCAGCAACCTGGTGCCATCAAATTCGTACCAGGACCACATGGCTGGAGATGACAGGCACCTCCCCTATTTGGGGCAATTGGCCATGCTAGAGGTTGAGCCTGAGAGTGAACTCCTGGTAGACAGTGAAGACCTGACCTCCTGCTTCAACCTCTTCACTCTACCGCCCCAATGGGCTGGAATGATGACGTTTGCGAAACAGGTCCCCTCAACGGTGTTTGGAGGGCCTCCTGACCAGATGTCCTGGGTAGGAATGAACGTAGTTCCAATGGGGTGGATCAACAGTGTTAGCCTCATGCAGACGGTGGTGAGGCAGTTGGTCTTTGTGGAAAGTGACATCCCATTGACCAGTGAGATCTCAAAGATCAAGCCCTTCCCAGATGATGCGTCTGCCTCATTGGTCTACTTGGACTCCTATGATGAGATTCGAAGAATTGACACTGCCTATAGAGGCTTGCTCGAAGGAGAAGAATCAGAAAGGCACTCCCGGTTTACCTCGACATGCAAAAGGTTTGGGCTGTCGCTCAACACCGGCAAACGCCTGGTTGGAGCTGTCAGAGGAAGCTTGCAGGGAGGTGTCTTGGATGGGCAGAAAGGGGTATTTCATTCCGCCCCAGAGAAGCAAGCCAGCCTAGTTGGGTATGGCCTCATGCTGTTGAGCCAGGAGCAGGTGTCTGAGTTTGAACTGCGCCATTTCGCGGGCAAGGCCCTCTTCAACATGGCCTTCCGCCGCCCTGCTCTGAGCATTTTTGAATCTATCTTCTACGACATCGAGGCCCTCAGCAAGCTGGATGGGCCTGGTGTGATGAAGGATGCCACCAAGGACGAGATCTTCATGGTGATCGCTCTGACTCCGCTGCTGCGCATGAACCTCAGGGCGGCCGTAGACCCCCAAGTCACCATCACGGACGCGTCACCGTCGGGCGCAGGAGGAGGTGTCTCTGATGCCTTCAAGAGAGAGGTCGACACCGAAGATCACGACGGTGCAAGATGCTTTTACTGTGAGAAGGAGTTGTGGGAAGACAAGTACCCATGCCCGTCCGAGTGCAGAGCCATGCTGTGCTCACTCGACTGCATGTGGCGCCACAGAGGAATGAACTGCAGAAGGCGGGGGTACCCTGTACCAAAGTTTGGTGAACGTTTTTCAGGGCCACGCCACCCTTTGAGTGAGGCTGTCGGCCAAGTGGGACTCATAGAGGTGCAGCCGCCCTATGATCTGTCACTTGGGCACAATTTCTTTTCGGATGAGGGCCGCGCTCGCCTCGAGGAACTCGAGCACGACCCCGACCTCTTCTGTGAGCATTGGGCACCGTGCTGCAAGCTGTTCAGCAAGGCCCGTGGCCGGCCCATACGCCTAGATGATGGTGAAGTGATTTATGGCCCCCAAGCAGTGAGGGACGAGCGACATCCCATGGGGTTTCCGTGGCTCAACAGAGAAATGAAGCAAAGGCTGAGACACTCCAACACCATGGCAAACAGAAGCATGAGCCGTCTGAGAGAGGCGGAGCAGGAGGAGCGGATCGCAACCCTGGAACACCCATACGGCTCGTGGCTGTGGCAGTGGCACCAGGCGACAGAACTGGACTCGGGGCTTTTGGGATATGCCGTGCGTCGTGACGCACAGGGCCGTCTCCAGTTCGACACAGAGGAGGAGGCAGAATACCCCATGGGGTGGTGTAAGGCTTATGCAGCTGGGCTGCGCAAGGCAGTCGAAGCCAAAGGACGGCATCTCGAAACGGTCTATGAAGGCCGAAAGAGTTGGGTGATGCAGGAATTGCAGGAGAGCACCCAACGTTTGAGAGAAGAGACCACCGCCAGACTCATGGCTGGAGATGTGGTTCGCCTGGAAAAACAGATGGTCCCGGGCAGTGAACAAGCGCACCTCAAGGAGATGTTGCGCAGGCTGACCATACGCGGGTCGGAGGTTAAACTGCTCTTTCGGGACAGCGAGCATGGAGAGATGCCTTACCCCGCGTACCGGTGGTTGTTTCGCAAGGCATTCAGTTTCAAGTGGCAGGATCCCGAGATCCACATCAATGAAGGCGAATTGAACGCCTTTCTGGCAATGGCTGAGAGAAGGGCATCAGACCCGTCGAAGCATGCGACGCGGTACCTGGCTATATTGGACAGCCAGGTGATCAGAGGAGCTTTAGGCAAGGGGCGAAGCCCGTCGCGCCCGATCAATCGGGGACTGCGCCGAGCAGCAGCCCTACTGCTGATTTCCGACTGCTACCCGCTTTTGGCGTGGACCATTTCAAGGTGGAACTGGGCCGATGCGCCCAGCCGGTCCTTTGAATGACGCGGCACACTCACCTGCGTTTTGCGGGATTGCAGCGTCGGAGCTTGTCAGCATATAAGTTAGCCCTCGAGCGCTTCCTTGCCTTTGCCCACCGCTCTGAGTTCGAGCTGGTCGATGCCACCGACCTTGACTATGTCCTTGCGGAATACTTTAATTGCATGTATCAAGAAGGGGAGCCCGTATCAGCTGCAGGGCACACCCTTTCCGGAATTAAGCGTTTCATCCCGGAGCTTAGAATACAGCTCCCAACTGCAAGTCAGTATTTTCGAAACTGGCAAAGGTGTCATCGCCCTCTTCGTGCTGTCCCCATCAGTTGGGAGCTTCTTCAAGCAATGGCAGCTATCTGTTGGGATCAAGGAAGCAAACCAGTAGCCCTTCTTTTGTACATTGGTTTCAATTGCTTCCTCCGGACCTCTGAGATGCTGGCGCTTCAATTTTGCCACCTATTGCCCCACCACACCAAACCTGAAGTCGCTGTGGTGATTCCTTTTTCAAAGACGTCCCATGGAAATGCTCAGGTTTTGTTGGTGAAAGATGAGCGCATTTGGCGCCTTACTCATGCCCTAAAGGCCAAGAAGGGCATTACCGCCCCTTTGTGGGCTGGCACCCCAGGCTTGTTCCGGTCGACCTGGGCACGTTTATTGGAATGCCTGGAGTTTCGCCCAGACGACTATACGCCATATGGTGTCCGCCGAGGAGGCGCCACATGGTATTTTTTGGAGACAGCATCTTTAGATGCCACCTTGGCACGCGGCAGATGGGCCACGTCCAAAACTGCCCGGTCCTACATCGACGATGGGACCCTTACCCTGGCCAATCAGCATTGGTCGGTGGCCCAGAGACGCAATGTGAGGCTCTGGATGCGTAAAAATCGCCTTCAATGGGCAGCTTTACCCCGGCGCTAAAGTGCCACTACGAGCAACTTCGTCGGGCTTCAAACTTGGGAAGTGGGACTACTTTTTTCGCCCCTGCTCATGACCCAACTTTGACTAGCTTGGTAAGTGGATGGTTCTTGAGCCATTACACTGGCCTCTTAAGGCTTACCGGTAGTCAGTTACCACCTCTTAAGGTTGGCTTGTTGGTTGAGTGAGAGGGATAGCGATGTCTCACTTTGTAAGGCTGCGGAGCCTATCCACTTTAGCAATCTGTGGTCTGCCAAAAAGTGGCATTGCTGCTGCAGTTGGGGTGATAATACCACTAAGCTTAACTTATGCTGCGAATGCTTGTAGCTGCATATGTGGTGCGAACATTTATCACCTTCTGCAGCTAGAGGTTCACCCTCCTCCGACCCCCTCACCGCCGGTTGGTTGGTTTTGTTTTGGGGTAAGTGGATGGTTCTTGAGCCATTACACTGGCCTCTTAAGGCTTACCGGTAGTCAGTTACCACCTCTTAAGGTTGGCTTGTTGGTTGAGTGAGAGGGATAGCGATGTCTCACTTTGTAAGGCTGCGGAGCCTATCCACTTTAGCAATCTGTGGTCTGCCAAAAAGTGGCATTGCTGCTGCAGTTGGGGTGATAAATATATATATATATATATACATATTATATGTGATATATGTACATATATAATCTGGTTTCTTTCAGTCTTTCTTCAAGTGCTTTGGGTATTTGTTGTGCACAGAGTCCTGATGTCGGCTCCAGTAGCTAGGGATGGGATCTCTATCCACCGTACATCCACATGTCTGCACGTCAATATGGATATGTATGTCAATGTGAACACATATTATACATATATACACATGTATAACAATACTATGTATATATATATATATAAGTAAGTTAAGTATGTATACATAATATACGCATATGTGTATAATCATATCTTTATAATGTTTCCTTAATAAACACATATTTATAGTAGACCTATTGAAGTCACAAATGGGTGATCCAGATCGACTTGAAGATGATGCCAGGGAGTTCAAGTCAGCACAGCGATGATTGAAACCTCACGGGCGTACCGGCAGTCCAGCTTGGCATTCTGAACCCCCCCCATTCCCATTTGTTTTTCTTCATAGAGGATTTTTGCAGTACCCCTCGGGATTTCGGATTGCCATGCATGTTTGATGAGGGTTATCTGCTTTAGCGACCAATGTCCTGGCAAATTGACAGGAACAAGCGTGCAAGTGGAAACGGGACAAGGCCGTCCCGCTCAGTCGTCAGGCCGCGAAAGCGATGTGAAATTTCTTGACCTGTAAGAGAGAGGAATACGCATAAAAATGGTTACTTTAAAAATATATTTACTCACCATAACGGGTATTGAATGGTGAGAGTTTAGTCTTGATCAGCATGGAGGGATGTGCCATTACAGTAGTGCCCTTATTGAGTATTTATCGAAGGCAATCGTTGCCTGGACAAATGGACCAAAAGCATTCACCAAAACACAGTCCAAATCAGAGTGGTAAAAGAGTTAGAGACGGTGAGGATGATTGACATGTTGTATACCTTATCCCTATCAGCATTTGGCAGGTGGTCAATGAATCCCTTGCCTTCTTGCTTGTTTCGTTGGAAGAGCGCTTGCTGCTGCCCACGCCGGGATTTGAGAAAGGTCAGGGGGTGAGAAACACCAGAATCTTGATGAATCTTGAAATCTCCAGAAACCTCGGCTGAGTCTTAGCGACAAAAGTCCTTTGAAAGTCAAAAGGAGAAAGAAATCTCATGAAATCTCATAAAATCTCCAAAAACTTCCTTTTTGCTTTCTCAACAGGAAACAGGGCGTTGGATTCTCCACCCATCGAGACTTCCGGGATGCAGGATTTCAGTCCGTTGAGAGCGCCGCCGCGAGGGTTGCGAATCCCGATGGATGCCGCGGTGCCAAGCCGGTGCTGGACCTCCATGGTGTGGCCAAGCTGCAGCCGGGATGTGGCCAATTATACGGGCAAACCCCTCCTGCCCACGCCGCCGCCGCCACCACCAGCAGCAGCAGCATCATCATCATCATCATGAAGATTCCCTTGAATATAGAGTTTAGCGGGGGTGGGGGTTTATCAATTCCCTAGAAACGCTTTTGAAACATCTTGAAGATTCCCTTCAACACACCAGAGTCAACATCTGTCTTCAATGTACTTGGAAACCGTGCAAATGTTGTGTGGGCGAAGGGGGGGGGGTTGTGCGTAATTATACTACTTAGTAATTTTACATAGATTTACTAAGACTACCCACAGGACGAGGGTATGGCCCGGAGGGCCATACCCGAGAGCGGAGCTAGCAACCCATTGGTTCCATCATCCCATTGCCAGGGTATTTCCTTGTCATAACAACAGTGACTTCCTACGCATACTTCTATTAGGGGTTTCATTCAGGGTTTACATAAGTTATAAAATCCGGACTCGCCAAAAAAGTGAAAAAAATGAAACAGTGGAAATGGCCGAAACGCGTGAAGTCCGCAGAGGGTTCACTTTTCTGACTGATTTTTCCAAAAATTCATCTTAGACCACGCTAACCCACAGATTTACTAGAGTCATAAAACACTGCGCCTGCGCAGAGAAATGAGCCTCCCACTGACGTTCATACGACCATTCCGGGACAACCCTCAATCCTGCCGGTAAGACTACAGCTACTTACTACTGCTACCGCTACCGCTACTGCTACCACCCGTGGTGATGATAGTCATCGGGTTTTCCAGAGTGTTTTTTGCCCACCTATAGCTGGAATTCTAGACCACTTACTAAGTAGAATGAATCACCTAGTAGGAATGATTTAGCTGGGAATGATCTTAGTCTTTTTGATTTTGCCTGGAGGAGCTGTGGCTTCTACCATGAATCTTGTTTCAAAATCCTGGAGACAACACATGGAACATTTTGGGTCTGTTGAAAGCTCGTTGTCCCTCAGGTTTTACTTTCCAGCCACAGCTGGACATAATCCTTTTTTGGAGCAAGAGCAGACCTCTCTATGCGGATGGATCAAACCCAATTCTTTGCCATATGACTAGGAGTTGATGAACATCCATAAGTACTAGCTATTTACATGTGACAACCCACACACTGGTGGGGTTTTGATCTGTAGCCACTGCATGTGCAGACCATTGCAGACCCATGGCCACGAGGTCAACCGGGAAGGTGTTTCGGTGCACCTGCATGTCCATGGTTTTCGGCCCTACTTCTATGCAGTCAAGCCGTCTGGAGAGGCACGGGAATCTATCATCCAATCAACTCCAAACTGCAAATGCCCACTTACGGCTAGGGATAACTTGGTACAACTGGTACAACCCAATTTTTTATACCAACTTGGACCATGCAAAAACTGTATTCATGGTCTTGTCAGATCTCATACTGTTTCTTGATTTTGTGCTACCCTGCTTGTCTCTGCACTGTGCAATAGACACGTTGTGCAAATTGGAGAATTGCAAACCCTTTGTGGTCATGTGCATTGCGAATGATTGGTTGCTCCAGAATCTCCGGCATGCTCCGAAAAGTACTGTAATGCTTGTTGGTGGTGAAGCCACGCTGAATTGAACCTCCAATGATGATTTTTGGGTCACCTCTGGGAGTTGGCTGAATCCACATGACTCCATGATCTCAAGAAAAGTTCTCGGGAGCACAGGTTGGTCTTGATGCTTGCCTGTCATGCTTGGATCGTGCTGTGCGCAGTGATGATGGAGGTGTTGTCGCCTGGCAAAATCAGTAGCTGTTGCAAGAAGCAGTCCCCTGACTTGGAGCATTGGGCCAAGTCGGGACACAATTATTTTTGAGATGATTTATCCTATGGATCTATACACATTATCAATCACATAGTTTTTTATTGTCGAACTTATTACGCCATCTTCAAAGAGATGAGAATTTGCTGATAAAATTTATTGAATTTGCTGGCTGTTGTAGATCTCGAGGCCGCTTGGTTTCCTGACTAGAGCTGATCATGGATGGTGGGGTGTTTTTGCTATTTTCATTTTTCTTGGTGGCTTCCTTCGCAGGAACTACTGGAGGAGGTCGAGCGAACGCCGTTCATGTACTACCAGCCGAATTCGGAGAAGTTCTTGAGAGTTGTGATGCAGCTCGGAAAGCGGATAGCGTGGATGAATTAGAACGAGCACAGCAATGAAAAAAACCAAGAGTGAAGGGATTTGTCAGCCATGGTTTTCAAACTGGGTCTTATTGAGGCAGAGTCCAGCTTGTGCAGAAAGTCACTTCAACATCCTCAAAATGCTCAGTCCATCCTAGTTACAGTGCGATTGGATGCCCTTTGCAAGCCTATCATTGCGGTACTTGAATCATCTTCCAAGTGAATTATATAATTTGTTTTTGCAGGTTGCCAGTTCCAGAACGTGTTCCCCGACTTTTAAATGGCAACGCAATTTGTATCGACCTTCGGACGGATTGAACTCAGGTCCAGCACAAAAATGGTGAATCCTGTTCGCAAAGAGTTGGAGAAGGGCGTTCTTCTCCCCGGTGGCATCAAGTGGCAGTCACAGGTGGGTCACCCTTTGTTGGTACCCAAACTGGGACCTGAAAAAAGGTAGACCTTTGTTTTTAGGGATCTGAAACCATGCCAAAAGTGGGGAGGGGTTGATAATTTCTTGAGCCATTTGTATTTTTCTTCCATGGGAAAGTTTCTAGTTTTTTTTTTTTTTCCAGCGTCACCTTCTTGGCTCTTGGAGACCCCCAAAATTGGTCGTGAGTTCCCAGAGGAAGCTGCCTGAGACATTCTTTTTTGGCTCCAACTTTGTAGCTGGATCAATGGGTTTCCTACATTCTTTTACTGTTACTATGGTGGTTGTTAGATCACTTCCAAGTAGTGGTTGATCATCCCCACCTTATTGATGCTCCAGGCTTTTGAGGTTGTGAACATCAAGGAACGCTTCCTGGTGGATGTAGCAGCCGCTGGTGGTGGATGGCTGGAGGCCACCGAGAGTTCCTTACCGTTGGACTGGTTAGTTTGGATAATACGACAAGACCCTGAGGTTTGACAATGACGACGATGACGACGAGGCAAGCCAAGATGACAATGACAACAATGACAACGATGACAATGAGACGACGACGACGACGACGACGACGACGACGACGAGGACGACGACGACGACGACGATGATGATGATGACGACGAGGATGATGATGATGATGATGATGACGATGACGACGACGATGATGATGATAATGATGATGATGATGACGACGACGACGATGATGATTATAACGATGATGATGATGATGATGATTATTGTTTTTTTTTAAATAATATTATTATGATTTTGATATCTCCTTGAAACCCCATAAGAAACATTTTGAAAGCCTATAAGAATCCCCTAATGACTGTATGAGAAATTGTTCCATGGGGCCGGGGGATTTTGATATATGCTTGAAACCCTGTAAGAAACCCTCATGACTGTATGGTTAGCTCCATATGATACTTAGAAGCAACATGTTCTGGTTATATGATACGTAGAAGCACCATGTTCTGGTTAACACCCTAGCAACATCTAGCATAAATGAACATAAAATCCTTCCCGTTGTTTGACGTCGTACAGAATTCCCTGGTATTTAGGCTATTCTGGGCTTGGGGCAAACCTCGGGGTCTGTGTGTAATATTTGTAACATGAATTTCTAAATTTGGTCAATTGGTAGGTACTTCAGGTACTTCCATTCTTGAGCCAAAACAATCCTTGAAGAGACCTTCAGCTGCCGAAAAACACCAGTGCCAGGCACCCAAGGGCCGTTTTCGTGTTCGGCCGAGCAGCGGTTGCCCCCGCACAAGCCGTGCCCAACTTGAGGCGGATATCTGCAAGACAATCGGGTTTTTCCCCATGAGGTGATCACTGGTGAATGGTATCGCAGAGAAAGATTTTGGAGGTGAACCGGGTGAACTATTCGCTATTTCTATCTATTTCTTTTTGCCATGGCTCAAGTTTTGGGAGAAACTGCTAGGCTGACGCCCACTACAGCTGCTTGTTGGGCCATACTGCAGATGGGCCCTGGCTGCAGCTGGCCCCATTGCGAATGCTGTCGCTTCATCTTCGCACGGTGGGTACTGAAGGCGATGTCAATGAATTCTGAGTCAAGTGGGTACCCCCAAAATGGTCGGTTGCGATCCTAAGAGTGAAGAAACATATGCAGGGTTTTTTTCTCCGGGGCTTTGCCTTTAAGACCCATATTGATGTCATGTAATGTGTGTAGCACACATGAGGGCAGTAATGGGAAATTGGAATTCTGAGATACGCTCAGCATTTGCCAGGTCGCATTTGTGCTGGTGCATGCGTGCTTCGAACCCATGGAAGGGAAGAGGAGCATTCAGTGGCATGGGCCGTTGGAGGCCCGGATGGGGCATCCCAGGCAGTGAAAGATGTGCAAGGCATTCACAAACTTGAGCAAAGCGTCTATACGGGTTTCTCATTTTTGTAATGTTGAGTCGAAAAAATAGAGTACCGCATAATCCAGTGAATTGAAGCAAAGATATGTCTTCATGTGGGAGTAGAACTGCCAGGAAGGCTGGAAAAAACTGCTGGTACACTACATGAAGATCATGATGGTGCCAGCCACAATCCCTTTTATCATTGGAGTGTTGCAGCCCACTTTTGGGTAAGCCTTGGTGTAGTTTTTTTGGCAAATTGGTTTTGTCTTGCTTAACTTGGATCAACATAGGGGAATACACAGCTAAAAAGTATGAACACGTATATAATATTATAAAATTTGAATTTGCAGAAGATCTCAGATTCGCGATGACTTAGATATGGATATGGTTTTTCATTGGTTTTCTGAAGGATGGAAAGGTTCAAATTTCAAGAGGACCAAAATCTGTAGTCCCCTGAGATGCTCGCAGGCAAGCAGGGCTTTGCCTCCAGCACCATGCATGTGGTGGACTCCGAGGTGTCCGGTGAAGTCACTGAGAAATGTCTGGGATGGAACCCCACTTACCCGACTTACCCAATGATGAAGCACTGGTGATTTCATAGCATGAACACCCATAAACCCAAAAGGCTTATTCGCAGGTCATGACTTGATTTTCAGTATCCTAAGTTCTGGGCTCTTCCCAGTGGTCCTCTTGACTTGACAAGGCAGCAATACAGCTGTGGTCATGCCAGCAGCTAGCTGTTCGACAGGCCACTCTCCTTGAAAAACTGAAAGACTTCATTCTCGACGTTGACCCAGAATCGCGGCGAAGTAATGCAGGGGCTGAAATGGTGTGACCTGGGTAGTTCTGCAGTATATTTCTGGGTGTTTTTGAAAGGGAACGGGAGTGCTTCCTCCCAGGACATTATCTTGGGCTACGATCTTTTGAACAGCCACTTAAACGCGGCAATCACCCGCTCTGCTGCACTGAAGATCGGTGCAAAGCGAGGAGCTTCCGATTTCTTGGAGGAACTCCCAAAATGGCCATTGTAATGGAGAAAAGGATAGAAACACATGGGATGGAAAATCCCGTTTGCAGGCATTATTTACTGATTCGTTTTTCTCACAGTCTGATCTTTGCAAGGCATCGTGGAGATCTAAGGGTCAGACTTTTTTTTGATCATTACTCACCGAAATCCTAATGTAGCACCAGATCCGAAAAAGGGGTCCCACTTCAGAGAGGTTCAGTATTTAGATGGGATTGGATTCATATCCAATTGTATTTTTGGTATATTTTTGGTATATGGTGGCATTTTCGTCTACACAGCAATTTTTGTTGGTGAAACCATGGAATTCACATGGCAGGAGCCAAGGGAGGACTTTCCCTGGGCCGTGTCAATGACATCCCTTCTCGGGTGAAGAGTGCCACCTTTGAAACACGTCAGCAAGGTCAAACGGGTTTGTCCAGGGGGGACTTGCCCTGGTTTACCTGGTTTATACCAATTTAGAGCAGTCTTTATCGAGAGAATCCAAACAATTTTGGGCAAGTCCAAAGTGTTTAGTGGTCCAAAAAATGATTTGTCCGATTGGCTTGGAAACTGCAATGATTGGGTTTGGCAGTTTGACCCGCAGATGTTGCAATCGAAAGGAGCGCAGCGGATATGTCTCGGCCCTCGAGGTGTTCATAACATATCATAACATAGGAATGTCATGGGTAGTTGAAGAATGATCCCAGTCACTAATTGGTAAGTAAATTGGGGGTAAGACTTCGTTAGGGGACCTACTAGCTGGATTTGTCTGAAGACAGGGTACGCCTGAATTTGATGGTTGTTCATCTTTTGCCCATGAAACTGCCATTTTGGAGTTATACCTATTATCAACCATTTTCCAACTGGAATGACATCCAAGTAGTTTGAGTTGCTTCTCCTTCTTGCCAGGCAAGCACGAGACGAAAAACATCAACGTTGATGGGAGGCTACTCTTCGATGTACTGACTGTCACAGAGCGGGAACACAAGTTAAGCAACTTATCTGAAACTTGAAACCGCAGCTTGGTCACTGTTGCTTTCGGATGAGCGGCCAAACAGAGGTGATTTTCATGCTGTTTTTCCGTTTTCTTCCAATTTACAAGTGCGATGTCTTTGATGGTAGCAGATATTCATTGATATTCATTGATTTGAGATCCGACATGAATCTAAATCCCGGAATCTCTGCTCGCCTTGGAAATGGTCCAAGTCATCAGTTCCTAGGGTCCTAGGGGCTCCACTGGGCTCCCAATCCTCGAAACATTTCGATTCTGTCGCTGGATCGAGGTTCATACACACTGTCGGCCTTGGTCCTACACTTCCTTGGAGAGTCCAGGCGAAACCTCTGTTGGTGGGCAGGATTTCCCTCTTGGAAAAGGTAGGATATGGCACCGCAAAGAAGGATCCAAAAGTTGCATTTCTTGGGTGGAGAAAGGACTTGGTTCCATAGAGAGCTCTGAAGCCTCTTTGCACCTTGAAGTAGTTGTTCATCTTGATCTAAACATCAAGACTATCCTCAACTTTGATGTGAAACTCCTCCCCCGGGTTCAGTTTTTTCCAAAATCCTGACAGGCTCGAGTTGGGCGGAAGTGATTTGGAGCGGCTAAGTGCAGAGGATCCTTCCGTCTTGGCACAGATGGCCCAACGTGATGCAGGCGGGCGCTATGTACACCTTAGCAGCAGCTGGCAAATAGCGAGAAACGCTCGTAATATCATCCTCCATTTTAGTTGGTTGACAATGGTTATTGAGTCATGTAACCCCCAATGGTTAACCATACTAAATCCACAGAGAAGGTCATGGGTTTTCTGCATCTACGACACTTTACTGTTTACCATTGACATCCATTGACTTTTGTATATATATATATAATATATGGGCGTTGCTAAACTCAAATAATCCCCCATGTTTGTTAGGTGTTTGGTCATACCACGACAGTGGAATCTATATATACCATGACAAGATATTAAAAACCACGACAAGAGGGTAGCACGAGTAGCGAATACCTTGTTCAATTGAAGACCTGTTCAAACCAAACATGCCACTAATGATATCAAACATTGGTTGATCATTCATTCACATCGGTTGATCATTCATTCAAAGACATCAGACAATCAGCATATTGGCTTCTGTGGTCTCAGCACTATTCTGCAGCAATTTGAGACCTCAGTTGAGAGCAGATCCAGATCAAAGCACAATCAATGAGATATGAAAAAACTTGCACAATTAGATCAACTCCGCCTGAAAAGATATGAAAAAAACTTGCACAATTAGATCAACTCCGCCTGAAAAGATATGAAAAAAAACTTGCACAACTAGATCAACTCCGCCTGGAAAGATATGAAAAAAACTTGCACAATTAGATCAACTCCGCCTGAAAAGATATGAAAAAAAACTTGCACAATTAGATCAACTCCGCCTGAAAGGTTGTAGTCCAGGGCCATTCTGGCTTCACACATGAGAAGAAGCAGTTGGCCAAAAGACACCAAGCGTCAGATCATGCCGGTTCGCAGCCATCTCAGCCGTTGTACTGGAAGATCCATATTAATAAATGGATCTCCCATTGATCATCAATGTAGCCATCTCAGCCCAGTGTGCCAAAACAGGTTTGCAACACAGATTTGGAGGCTTGGCTCCAGTTGCATCAAATTTGGATGGATTCGGAGTCGAAGCCACAGAAGCTTTGCAAGACACGGACCAGTGAATGACCCAGATCCAAATGGCTCAGCTTGCGCTTTCTTGCCTTCTTTGCCATACTGTCTGGCTCTAGGAATTGCTCGGCCAGAAACGCCCTTAATGGTCACGAGCTCAGATTTTCGGAGCCAAAATGCAGCTACTGAAGGCCGCTGAAGGTTTTATTTTGCTCATCTAGTCCGTTTTGATCAGATAAAGCATGTCCCACAGGCACAATATTCGGTCACTTCTGCGCATGGAACAAGCCATACTAAGAAAATGTTTGACGGGTTCGGACGAGCTGAGGCATACGTGGATAGAGCGTCCTTTCCAGGTGTCCTGGATGAGACCGAGTTCAAATGTACGGAGCCTCAAGGCGTCAGAACGCTGAGCATTGTGCTGCTTCATGCTGCTTCTACTGTCTCCAGTGTCTCCACCGAACACTTCTGAAATCTTCTGAACGTTACGTCGAGTGCATTCGAATGCTATTTGCCATTGCCGTTAGGCCCATTTGTTCAAGACTGAACAGTCAACACTGTAAGATACTTGTAGTATCTCATAGTACCTCTATGAGCTCAGAGCGATGATAAAACATAAAACATACGTCGGTGGGATTTGGACCGGATTTGGGGCAGGAGGCTTACCGATTGTTTACGGATTTTTACCGCATGTGAAGGACGAGGCTTACGGATTGTTTATGGATTTTTACCGGATGTGGAGGACGAGGCTTGCGGATTGTTTACGGATTTGTACCGGATTTGGGGAAGGAGGCTTGCGGATTGTTTATGGATGATGGATGATAGACTCTGTGCGAGTGCGAGAGCAGTGCAAATCCGACTGGCTGCAGATCACCCACTTGAGCCCAGGATTCCTGCAGCCAATGTCAGGGCCATTTTGCGGACGAGAAGCCGAAAGGATGCGGCCCAGAATTTCGTTGAGTCCTAGGTGACATTCGGTGACTTTGCGGAGAAGTATCAAGATGAGACAAGAGGCATCTTTGCATTCACCAATGTGATGGTCTCGGCCAATGGCTTCTGGTGGGTTGGCATCTTCCCCGGCTTCTGGGCCAAACTGGAGGAGCTGGTGAGACAAGGCCGCGGCAAGGAGATCCATGTTGCCCACGACTACACCTTCAACCTCACTGTGCAGGGCTTCTCGTATCTCTTTGTGGTTCTGGTGATCTATCGCTGCTCAGCAGATGGTTGGCGGAAAAATTTAAACGGGTCGACAGAAATATTTTTATGGCTGGCAAGATTGCTGCAATCAGACCATACCAAAGTTGAGAAATTCATAACGTTCTCTTTTCTTTGCATTGTCGCTTTGCGGCTTCGGGGCTCTGAGGAAAGTTGAAAGGCACTTGGCGGCTGTCCACATGGCCGATGGTTTCGGCATGCCACAGCGTCGAACACAACCGCATGAGCGGCGAAGCTTTCCGAACCCTACATCAACAACTCCGTAAACGGGGCCTCGCTGACCCATCGCAGCTGAATGTGGATTGGTTTCCAGGAATTGTAGAAGAATGGCGGGCAAGCAACCCCATTGCTCCGGTTGGCCAAGGGGTGGAACACATGATGAGAGCCCTGAGAAGAATCAGTTCTCTGGATCGACAGCAGGGCGGAGGAGGAAGAGCAGCGCAGCCAGCGCAAAGCAAAAAGCAAAAGCTGCGCCCAGAGCCGTTCCCAAGGCAAAGGCGAAATCTTTGCCTCGCTGTGAGAAGCTGGCCTGCTATCAAGCCTTCGAGAAGACCCTCACCACTGTTCTGTTTGCCCCGACCAAGATCATGCTGCACACGATTTTGGAGAGTGTGCGCAGCAGGGGAATAGCAGTGTGGGAAGAAGAGCGTTTCATGAAGTACTTCTTCCAGCAGTATGTCCACCAAGAGACATCGGAAGCTCTGAGGCAAGATCCTGACACAATGGAAGGCCATATTTGGGCAGCGCGCTGGTGGATGGGTGTTTCATCTCCTCTCACCTTTGGCCATCCTCCGTCTCAGCAACCTTCGGAGCAATGGGACAAGAAGTGCAAGAATGATTTGAGATCTGTGCAAAAAATGCGCAGTCACCAAGACGTGGTGGTTGGTTTGATGAAAGCCGCGGCAGGGTGGTTGCAAGAGGTGTCAGCCGAGGAAGCTGCTCAGAGCGATCGGGTTGTGTCTCTGCTCGCCCCAGCGCAGAACCTACATCTTGAGTACCCAGACTACGCAGATGGCTGGATGCTGGGAAGCAAACCCCACATGGTGAAAAAGCCGTTCACCAGATTCAACTTCGGCTTCCTGCCCATCGCCTCCTTGATTCGCCGGTTCAGTGACCGCCACGGGTGCCTCCAGTGCATGAACACCCCTTCCTGCTCTTACTACTGCATGCCCCTCTCCAAGCCACAACCATTGCCAGCCCAGACTGTTCAACGAATGGTTGCCGTCCTGAAGGAGACCATGCAGGAGCGCCACTTCGATTCAACCGAGAGAAGTATGCAGAAACCTGGCATACCTTTTGCGTCCTCAAAGTGCAAGACAGAGAAGTGAAGTTTTGCACCTGTTGGCTGTTTCTTTGGCGGGGGTCTTGCAACCATCGATGGGCGCTGCAACAGCACCTCGGGCTAGGAAAGTACACCGAGGATCGAATTCCTGATCGCAAAGTTGCAAGGAAGCAGCAATTTGCCCGTGGATCTTCAGATGATGAATGCCCAGATCGCAATGCCAAAGCAGCCCGGGTCCGTTGATCGCAGGGACTGGGAATGCGCCCAGCTCAGTGGCAAGGAAAGAAAAAGCTCTGCGCCTGCTTGTCAGACTGATGCAATGAAATTCATGCGTTTTGTTTCTCTTAACGGTCTCTCCGTGGTAGCTCTCGTTCTATCTACATTGCTTGTATCGGCAAGCAGGCGCCAGCCAAGCAGAGTGCGATAAATCAAGAATAAATCCAAGAATAACTTCTCACTTCAGATTGCCTCATGCTGCCTTTTCTTGGCTGCGCCAGGTCAGCTTCATGAGGCAACAGAGATGGGGTAGGCGTTGCCCGCTGACCCCATGCAGTTTCTGATTGCATACTTTTTTTTGTAGCTAACGTTTGAGCCTTTTCCTTGCGGGATCATCGTTTCCGTGCACTTGTCAGAACGTTTAGGCCATTGCTACAGATTAGTAAAGATTCTGGATCATTGGCCTACGGATTTCTTACGGATTCTTGCCAGAGCAGCTTACGGATTTCCAAGGGGATTTTTGCTTTGTGGCTGACGGATTTTGAACGGATTTCTGCCGGTCAGCTTGCGGACTCCTTACGGATTATTGCTTTATGGCTCTGCCTTGATACATCCTGGCTTTGATAGTTACCCTGAAAAAATATTGTGTTAATTACAAATGGTCTACGATCAATGGCCTACAGATTTCTTACGGTTTCTACCCAGAGCTGCTTACGGATTCCTTGCGGATTTTTGCTTTCTGGCTGACGGATTTTGTACGGATTTCTGCCGGTCAGCTTACGGACTCCTTACGGATTATTGCTTTATGGCTCTGCCTTGATACATCCTGGCTTTGATAGTTACCCTGAAAGAATATTGTGTTAATTACAAATGGTCTACGATCAATGGCCTACAGATTTCTTACGGTTTCTACCCAGAGCTGCTTACGGATTCCTTACGGATTTTTGCTTTCTGGCTGATGGATTTTGTACGGATTTCTGCCGGTCAGCTTACGGACAGATTATTGCTTTATGGCTCTGCCTTGATACATCCTGGCTTTGATAGTTACCCTACAAATGGTCTACGATCATTGGCCTACAGATTTCTTACGGTTTCTACCCAGAGCTGCTTACGGATTCCTTACGGATTTTTGCTTTGTGGCTGACGGATTTTGAACGGATTTCTGCCGGTCAGCTTGCGGACTCCTTACGGATTATTGCTTTATGGCTCTGCCTTGATACATCCTGGCTTTGATAGTTACCCTGAAAAAATATTGTGTTAATTACAAATGGTCTACGATCAATGGCCTACAGATTTCTTACGGTTTCTACCCAGAGCTGCTTACGGATTCCTTGCGGATTTTTGCTTTCTGGCTGACGGATTTTGTACGGATTTCTGCCGGTCAGCTTACGGACTCCTTACGGATTATTGCTTTATGGCTCTGCCTTGATACATCCTGGCTTTGATAGTTAACCTGAAAAAATATTGTTTTAATTACAAATGGTCTACTGTCATTGGCCTACAGATTTCTTACGGTTTCTACCCAGAGCTGCTTACGGATTCCCTATGGATTTTTGCTCTCTGGCTGACGGATTTTGTGCGGATTTCTGCCGGTCAGCTTACGGACTCCTTACGGATTATTGCTTTATGGCTCTGCCTTGATACATCCTGGCTTTGATAGTTACCCTGAAACAATATGATGTTAATTACAAATGGTCTACGATCATTGGCCTACAGATTTCTTACGGTTTCTACCCAGAGCTGCTTACGGATTCCTTACGGATTTTTGCTTTCTGGCTGACGGATTTTGTACGGATTTCTGCCGGTCAGCTTACGGACTCCTTACGGATTATTGCTTTATGGCTCTGCCTTGATACATCCTGGCTTTGATAGTTACCCTGAAAAAATATTGTGTTAATTACAAATGGTCTACGATCATTGGCCTACAGATTTCTTACGGTTTCTACCCAGAGCTGCTTACGGATTCCTTACGGATTTTTGCTTTCTGGCTGACGGATTTTGTACGGATTTCTGCCGGTCAGCTTACGGACTCCTTACGGATTATTGCTTTATGGCTCTGCCTTGATACATCCTGGCTTTGATAGTTACCCTGAAAAAATATTGTGTTAATTACAAATGGTCTACGATCATTGGCCTACAGATTTCTTACGGTTTCTACCCAGAGCTGCTTACGGATTCCGTACGGATGTCTGCCGGTCAGCTTACGGACTCCTTACGGATTATTGCTTTATGACTCGGCCTTGATACATCGAGGCTATGATTGTTGCTGGCGCCGTGCTCTGCGGCCTGTGTGTGGGAACTCATTCTTAGTCTTTTTCACTTTGCCTGTGTGGGGTGGGTTGGGGTGGGGCATGTTAATTTTCACTTGCAGTTGCCAATGCTACGTGAGGCATGGGTCGGGGTTGAAAAGAGTTTTGGTCGGCGCAGGTGAAGAAAATTATCCACCGGAAGAAGATGTGAAAAAAATGCGGTGTGAATGCTGGCAGTGCAGACAGTCGATGATGTGTTTGCCGGTCGTGGTTAAATCTTTGGTCCTTGTCGTGGTTCACAGCCGGGTTTTGTCGTGGTTTGGAAACCTAGTTTTAGTCGTGGTGAAAACGTACTCTCATGTTTGTTGGTTGACCATGGCTATTCCACATCACAACCAACCAATGAATTGGGTACGGAAAAAAAGAAACCGGGAAATCACCGTTTTCATTCCCTAAATGTAGAGGTTTCCAAGTTGGGAAAATGTATCCTAGCCAATCTAGTCTAAGAAAATCCAGTCTGGAGGTTTCCTTAAATGGTAGTACCTCCAAATGATCCATTTTAATGGAATTTTCCTATAAACCATCCAGCTATTGGGGATCCCCCATTTCAGGAAACCCCCGAATCTAGCTATAGGCTATAGCCTGTGCCGTCCAGGTCTAGCAATGCGTCTCTTCCACAACCAGCACTGTCTCTTTCGATATGTAGAGATGGCGCGCGTCACGGGAGTGCCCATGGAGTACCTGCTAAACAAAGGCCGCCTGTGAAATCTTGAGCTGTCACCTAATAATGCTGCGAAATATGCAACCACCTATTTAACCATCAAAAATGGGGATATAACTATAACCATTGAACATGTGGATAAAGCCATCAAAGAAAATAACTATCCCCGCAAGAGACCCCAAACAGTGTTGGGGGAGTGGGAGGATAATGTAGGATAATGTTGAATGATGATGATGATGATGATGACGACTATAAACGATGATGATGGCGATGATGATGACTATTACGATGGTGACTATTATTATTATGACGACGGTGATGACTATTATGATGATGACTATGATTATTATTCTGATGATGATGAGTATGACGATGATGATGATGATGACGACGACGACGATGATGATGATGATCATGATGGTGAGGAGCTGCTGCTGATGAGATGATGATGATGATGATGATGCTGATGGTGATGATGATGATGATGACGATGATGATTGTCATGATGATGATGATAATGATGAGGATGAAAATGCGGAAGATGACGTGGCGGATGATGATGTAGAGGAGGAGGATTATGATGTTGACGATGATAAATGACAATGGTGATGATGATGGTGAGGATGATGATTGTGATGGTGAGGATGGCAATGATGAGGGTGATGATGGTGATGGTGAGGATGACGATGATGATGACGATGACGATGATGATGATGATGACGATGATGATGATGATGATGGTGACGATGATGATGATGGTGATGATGATGGTGATGATGATGATGGTGAGGATGAGGATGATGATGATGACGACGACAATGATGATAATGATGATGACGATGATGATGACGATGATGATCATGGTGAAGAGGAGGAGTAGGAGGAGGAGGAGCATGATGATGGTGATGACACACCTTGTGCAAGCTTGCGCAGTCGAAACACATTTCGAGATTTCACAAGAGCCACTTGATACGGAAATTGCAGGAAAATTGCCTTTCCCCAGAACCGCTACCCACACTTTGTGTGAGCCTGCGGAGTGGAAACGCACGTGAAGATTTCATAAGAGCCACTTTATACGGAAATTTACAGGAAAATGCGGGGCCCAGAACCGCGACCCACACTTTGTGCGAGCCTGCGCAGTCGAAACGCATGTCAAGATTTCACAAGAGCCACTTTATTCGGACATTTACAGGAAAAATGCGGGGCCCAGAACCGCGACCCATCCTTTGTGCGAGCCTGTGCAGTCGAAACGCATGTCAAGATTTCACAAGAGCCACTTTATACGGAAATTCACAGGTAAAATGCTGCAGACCAGAACCGCGACCCGCACTTTGAGCGAGCCTGCGCAGTCGAAACGCATGTCAAGATTTCACAAGAGCCACTTTATTCGGACATTTACAGGAAAAATGCCGGGGCCCAGAGTGAGCACCCTGATCAAGCACCGGCCTTTACACCTACCGTAAGAACCCCTCAGTATGGACACACTGTTTGAGAAAAAGAATCAGGATCAAACGTGAGAATCAGGAATGGTGGTTTAATGGGATATTGACGTGGAATGATGGGGATATGGGATATTTGATATTTCTGACCAACCATAGTATATCCATTTTGGATGCGTCTGAATGAGGCACGCCCACTGGGCAATTTAAGTCGGAAAATGATGATCAACCATCAGTTTTGTGTGTTGACCCTTTTGCAGACAAATCAGAACAATTAGATACAACGCCAATGTGGGATCTGGAATTGACATCTGGATTGGGTCTAAACCATGGGCGGTTCGCCAACAAAATATGATAATTTCAGGTCGACCATTGGATGGAATGGGGTAAACCCAATGCCCTAAACCTCCATCATTGAGGATAGTTGGCGGTGGGGTTTACCACGTGAGTCGAGTAATTTGTAGCAGATTGATGTGGTGAACCCAACCACCCACCTGCGTATTTTAAACGTATCTGGGAGAAGGATGCTATGGTATTCATTTGTTTGGCGATATTCTGGTGATTCCAAGTTGCGTCTTAGAACGATGTGCCATTTGCACCATTCCATACATTTCCATCCAGTTCCACTAGCAGGGTTTTGTATTTGCTGGAGGCCAAAGTGTGAAAGTTGTCTCCATGATCTTGCGCAAGGCTGGAAGGGATTGGAGGATGCTCCAGCAACGCAAAAAAAATAATTTGAAGAAGGAGTGATACGAAATTGCGTCACAGTACAATGACTTGACTTGACAAGTAACTGCAAGGCTTTTGGCCCTGGTTTTGGGCAATTCCTTCAAGACAGGCAAGCAACAAGGTATCATGCTGTATGACTCATGACCGCATGCTACAATGATAGGTCCCTACTGCTTGTGCTATCTCTATCCACTCCTAATTGATGCCCAGTTGGTAGTTCCAAGACCATGAAAATACCTGGGTTGCAGGGCCAGTCACTGTAGTATGATGACCTTCGCTTCGCTTTAGGCACGAGCTTTCGGCTATGTGTTGCCACCACAATCACGGAATAGCAGCTCTCTGGAAGAAGGTGGCAACACTTATGAGGTGCAAATTGTGAGTTTTTTCCATGGCTGGAATGGGGAGAGTGAGCGAACATTTTCAGGACCTCATATTGGATGGCAACCGCCTTTTTTGTTTAGTTTGCCTTGGTTTGCTCCTCAGGGTGGGGCTGTCCTGGAACCTGACACGGGCTTCTATGACGAACCTGTTGTTACGTTGGACTTTGCCTCCCTGTATCCGTCCATCATGCAGTTGCTCGACATGAGATGTGGGAAAGGTCCGAATATGGGTCCACAAATGAGGGATTTGTACAGCAGAAAATGTGGTGAGATACCGAATTTGGGCAGTATTCCGTGTTTGACCTTAAATAGGAGATTTACCTTTAATTGGTGGCCACTAAACGATGGGATGGAATGGGGTATCCTATGTTCAAACAAACCCATCTGGGAAAGGACCAGCAACCTGGAACCAAGGAAGCATAACCTGTGCTACAGCACACTCTTGCGTTCGGCATCTCACCCTCCACCGTCGCAGGCCAAATTGGGGATGGGCTTAAAGGTCTTCCATCAACGGTATAAAAGTCATATGTGGAGTATCCTGCCTTCTGACTTGGCAGCATGAGAAATGTGAATTATTTATATCATATATCTATCTAACTGATCATCTTTTTTTCTTTCAGAATGACCCTCCAGATTCCATATTTTGGGCATCATTGCCAGGCCCAGGTCAGGTAGGATATCCGACCTCATCTATTGCTCAGGTTGAGGATGCGGCTACGACAGAGGAGGGGAAAACTTTTTTGCTGAACAACTTCAGACAGGATTTGATCTGTGGACAGTCTTTTCCTGGCCAAGGTCATGTTGGATGGTTTAAGTCACCATTTGGTGGTAAACATCCACACTTTCGTTGGGGTTCCCCATTCTTCGATAGTTGAAGAGCTGACCCATCGACTCTTATTTGTTGAATCCTTATTTTTGGTGCTTCCATCCCAGAATTGGAAGGGACAATCCATAATGTGTATATATATATACACATATTTGTTCATCCTGGAGTAGATATAACAAACATCGGAAAACATCGCTAAATTGCCACCAATGTCCATGTTCTACTCCAGGATGACTATATGATATATATATATATACATATATATATATGTATCATATTTGATGGCAAACACCCATATCATAGATTTTTTTTATCAATTTTTCCCTTTTCGAAAGTTTCCCAGGAGGTGCCAATGTTGGGGCATCGCTTCGTCACCTCCAAGATCCGCCGAGGTCACGAAGGGGAAGCTGTTCCCATGGGGACATGTCACCAACCATGACATCCTCTGGTAAACATACAGAAAACTATGGAAAACACACCATTTTTTAAGGGGTAAATCAACTATTTTTATGGCCATTTTCAATAGCTTTTTGTATGTTTACCAGAGGGTACTGTATATGGGATATAGGGGAGAGAGATATATATATATAAATATATATATAAATATATATATACTGTATATATTATATTGTATATGTATAGAGCAGCTAGAGCAAACCCAGAAAGAAACCTACAATCCTGCTAGAACAGTCATGAACCACCTTTTGTTTCCTTTTGGGTTACTCTATATATACCTTCCTATGCGCACGTATATGTACACTAGTACACGCACACACATAGATGTAATGGGATTGTTGGAAAACTGGAAAACTTGGAATTTTCCAATCAATATCATATCTTGACAAATTGTCCAGATATGGAGGATTCGCGCCAAGCCGTCCATGTTGACAAGAGATTTGGTCCCCTAAATATAGAAACACCATTTTTGCTGTGAATTTGGGCCTCCAGAACTGAATGCCTGGTACAACTAGGATCATGGCTGAGAAATTCAGCAAGTTCACAGAGGATTGTGCCGTAATTACATAATTTTGCAGTGGTTGAGATGTATCTAATCCAAGGTTTGGTATTTACTCAAGGGACTTGGGACGAAAATCCTTTGCCTTCCCATTGCCTGTTCTGTTCATCCAGCTCATATTGATCCATGGACAAGGAAACACACACACACAACCCCACCAGCCAGAGAGAAGAAACGACATGTTTCCGGAATAGGGAACTACATGATACCGATGCAGACGTCGCTTGATGTGGTACTTCGTAAGGTGGCTTTGCATCATCCCGGGCTCCCAATCCACCTCTCTCCTCTGATATCTATATGGAGGTTTCCTAAAATGGGGGTACCCCTAAATCATCCATTTTGATTGGATTTTCCATTATAAACCAACCATTTTGGGGGTACCCCTATTTATATTTATGGAACACCCCATATATTCAAGCCTGCATTGGCCACACGACCACAACATAATTCGCAATCTTGTACAACAAAATCATGTGCAGGCATTGTCCACATCCGACATATAGCAGACATTTAATACATATTTTTTTCGGAATATATATGCAGGCTGATAAATCTTCTAAGACACCATTCTTGTTGTGTATTGTGATATTTCAGCCCATTTTTGCCGCGTCAGTGCCGCCCAGGTCTGGTTCCCATGGTCTTGGAGGAGTTGCTGACGGCACGTGCCAAGGCCAAGAAGGAGCTGAAGCAGGTGGTCGCTTCGGGAGGAGCGCCGCACTGATTCAGCGAAGATCGTATACTTAGTATAGATATGCTGTTTTAATGCGCACATGTATATATCTGTATGTATACAACAAATCAAATAACTATAGAAAACTATATAATATATATATGACTATATATTTATAGTTAGTTATATGTATATATATATACATATATATATATATCACTATATATATATCGCTATATATATATATATATCACTACACATATACATATATATATACATATATACATCACTATATATATATCATTATATATGTATATGTATATATCACTATATATATATATCACTATATATATATATATCACTATATATATATATATATCACTTTATATACACCTATAAAACTTTACATAACTATATAAAAATGCATATAACTATACGTAACTATATAGGAAACTATGTATAACTGTATATAAAGCTATATACAACTATATATGAAACTATATATAACCAATATACTAAGATATAGCTAAGTATATAAAACGAACTATATATAATTATATAAAACTATATATATAACTGTATATAACTATATATAACTATATATAACTATATATATACATAGTTATATATATAATTATATATATAACTATGTATATATATAACTATATACAACTATATATAACTATATATAAAACTATACATCACTATATAGAAGTAGATATAACTATATATAAGTATATATAACTATGTAAACCTATATATATAACTTTGTATAACTATATGTAACTATATATACTATAGAAAACAAACTATATATAGCTCTATTTAACTAAATTTACCTGTATATAACTGTATATATATATATATATGTATGTATATAACTGTATATATATATATGTATGTATATACATATTTATACACATTTATGCACATGTATATGCAGATAAAAATACCGATGACGCTGATGATCCGGTTTCAGGAGATCCGCAACTTCGCGCGGTGTTGGATGGTCGACAGCTGGCTCTCAAGACTGGCAGCGGATGGTCACAGTTGTACCGTGCCGTTTTTGAAACTCCGTGGTTGATATGTGGGGCCATCAAACTGAAGAAATTGAGGTTCTCCCATAATGTTCTGTCTAAACCATATCTCTTTTAGTTCTTCCCGTGTTGCTTTGGATATCTGCAGTACATTAGTTTAACAGTTGCACTCGCTGGAAAGCCGAAGCTGTGTGGTGTACAGTGTACAGTTGTACATGGGTTGTATCTAACCTCGAGTTGCAATCCCTTTCGCCTGAGATTAAATACCCCCCTCTGTCACACTAGTTTAGTCTTGTCACGTGTCCAGGATCTCTGCCAATTCCGTCTATGGCTTCACAGGCGCTTGCCATGAAGGAATCATTGCTATTTTGCTTGCTAGTAATATATACTAATAGTGTAATTATGATTCGATTATTATTCATCATTGCTACTACAGTGCTCGCACAACCTATTTCGAACACATCAATATTTCCAGCCGATTTCGGTTCTCCGCTAGGCATGTCGCAGGGTGCTTTGCCTTGCCAAGACATTGCAGCTTCCGTCACGGCACCTTGGTGTCGGACTGCAGCTGGCGCCCGTTGGTGCGATTCTGGGGCTACCCGATGTTCAGACGAACCCATTTCATGTATGATCCGGAGTACATTCGATGTGTATAAAGAATGAATTCCTGTGGACTTGAGGTGCACACGATGCATTCTACAGAGTGCGCGCAGACTGCAGATGCACAGCAGAACATATATCTTCAGTGCACATCAGAACATATATTACATATATATATATATACGTGTATAGACATATATATATATTTATGTACGTATGTAGGTATATATGCATTTTGGCATAGTACAGCAACATGCCTTCACATATGGTACTTTTTCCATTCACTTAATCTTCACATTTTCACTGCTATCTTGTTTCTGTGGAGCAATGCAGGCCATTTATCTCTTTGATAGATACCCTGGTTTGTCATAAAATAGTAGGCTACTGCACCTTGACATTGGATGATTCATCAAGTCATCAACATGATTTATCATCATTGTCCCTATTGAACAAGTCAATCCTTGCCAATTCTTGTGTCCAAATCCACCTGAATTAGCTGCTGGGACCCTCATGGACTCGTCCACTGAATGGGGAGACCCCCCAAAACCACGGATTTCCTCATGGAAAATGATGATTTTTGGATGATGGGGTTCCCTCATTTTCGGAAACATACCTTGATAGTCATGGATGGAGTTTCCAAGCCTCCCTGTGAGGCTTACGGGCGCCAGATGATTGAGTCTGCCAAGGTTGGCCCTTCTGCGCCCGGGGTCGAGACATGTCCGAAGGCTTTGGGCTATGATTCAGGGCACACCGCAGTGGTAGTGAACTGGCTACGTCTCTGCTGTTGATTTGCTGGCTCTGGAAAGACATGGTTGGAAAAGGGGCTATGTGTATATATATATACATATATATATATGCACATATATTCACGTATTGGTATATATATATATAAATACACATTCCAATTCCAATACAATAAGGAAAACAACCTCAGCGACCTTCAAGCATGAGATGCATCACACATCAGCGATTTACGGCCTCATGTGGATCAATGCCGCAGCCAGAGCACCGTACAGAATCGCCCAAGGTGGGAATGGGGGAAGAGCCTGGTAAGCCGGTGAACATCCCAATGTTGGCCGGTTTTTTGGTTGGATAAAGTCCACTTTTTAACAACCAATTTTAGTGGATCCCAATTCACCAGATAACGTCCTAATTTTTGTGGATCCCTACTTTTTCTGGTGAATTCCTGCATTTCTCTTTGGTGAATGGCAATCCCCATATCACTTTGATGTGAGAATACGTCAGACGCCCTGCTTTGCTTCAGGCGAGACTGGGGGCGGTACTTTGCGAGGGCGATTTGCGTCTTGGATGACGATCAGACCCTGCGGGAATGGGATTTTCCCTTACATAGGCCTTACATAGGCTTTATAGATATGGTAGGTATCTCCAATTTAGGTTGTTGGAATGGAATTGATCAAACATACCAATGAGTATTTCCCTACAAATAGAGTTTTCTGGCTGGGAAAATCATCATCTATAAATGTGGAACTTTCCAGCAAGCCATGCTCGATGACACTGGAGGGTAGCTTATTTGACCATCAAACATGGGACCATAATATCAGGATATTTATAGGGCTATTTCCAAGCAATATGATCGCATTATGTGTGTGTCAGCAGTGTGTCCGAAAATGGGGTAGACCCTGAATTGTGGTAATTTTTATAGGACAATTACTGTATGATAAACCATCAAAAATTTGAGTACCCTATTTCAGACATGTATTGCTGGATCTTCAGCTATTTTGGCCCCCACATCGCACGGATGATTTGAATCAGAAGGACTGGACAGGATAGGTGAATTCTCAGATGTGTATTTTGAAATTCTGATTCCTTGCCGTAAAGACACAAGTTTCCGGAAATTTTCCCATCCCCACACGGCACCTTCCAATTATTTACCCCCAAGATGGGATGGTGTAGCACCAAAAAACAGTTCCACACATCATTTACATCAAAACTGGCTGGTTTTGTGGTCTCAGTACAAGAAAGAGCTCCAGATTATCGACCCCAAATTCGAATTGTTTAGCAACTTTAGTAGTTTTTGGTTTGAGACTTCAGCGCATCTCCCTTGAGGCACGAGAATTCAGGGCCACCAGCAGCTTCTGACAAGGTGTCACTGCGGATTGATGGGGAGCTGATAAATGTCCTATGATTTTGCGGACACCGTTGAATTTTGGGGTAGCCTCTTTTCAGACAAACCCTTAACTGGAAATTGATGTTGATATGATAATATAACTCCATATAACTCCACAATTCCAGCTCGAGTGAATGATGTTCAAATGGGAGGTTTCACAACCCCTAAGCTGGTCCCTCAGAACGTGATGCTTCGCTAACTGCAGAGGGACGCACTGGTGGGCAGAGCTCTGCCTGCGAACTTGGAAAATGATTGAAGGGTTCTTGAACGGATCTCCTTCCCCAAAAATGATGTTTGGGAGAGTACCTGTAGTCACTTAGCTGCAGTGAAGGTCTCGACTTGCCATATTTGATTGGTGGGGAATATTTTTGCTTTCCCCTGTTTGGCATGATGATCCCCTAGACCAATATGTTTCGGGCGAATTGAAGCCACCAAGCAGATAGCAATGTTTGAGACGCAGGCAGTGGGTTCTGGTGTGGCAGCAGTACGACAAAAGAGACCCTGGTCATTGCAAGGGTGCCGAGTCAGATACAGACCTGTGGCCTGAACAAATGGTAATTCCAAGCTGTAAGAGAGTAAATGCAGACACACACACATATATATATATGTATACATAAGAGAGTAAATGCAGACACACACACACATATATATATGTATACATCTATATATATATATATGAGCTATAGACATTTAGACACACACATGTGTGTGTATATATATATACAATTACATATGAAAGAAATGCGTGTGTGTATATATATATACATAAATGTATGGATTGATACCTGCATCATACCCATTGAACTCCACCAAGGCAGGCAGTTATCACTTGTGTCCCCCTTTGGTCGACGGCGTAGCGAGGTCCAGCGTGGCAGATGCCTCGATGTCGGAGCTGGAAACTTGTCCAATTTGCTGCCTGGCATGGTGAGATCGGA